AACCAGTTGCTATGTTAATCAATAATCAAATGAATTTCAAATCATATCAATCAGTTATTCTGTTACAATTAAAATAAATAAGTATTTATAGGAAAAAGAATTTTTAATTAAATACATCAATTATGTATGAGAACGATTACTATTATTGATAAATTGTTTGGTTTTACATTTAGAATGTAAGCAATTAATAATCATTTTATATTTATATGAAGTGATTGTCATGTTTAGAATAATAACGTTTGTTTTTTTTTAAACCTGTATTTTTATAACCTGCATTCCAAATTTAAATTATACTAAATACTGTGCAGTATAATAATTATCTACATTTTTGCAATTAATATTTCGCTTAATATTTTTTTTTAAAGATGCGCAAGCGCAATTATATTGAATTAATACTTCCATAAATCGTTTGACCGTCATACAAAAGTATTTCTGTACGTATGTAATTGAATTGATAAAACAATTTACTGTCTTTATTATTATTTTTGAAGAAGAAAATTATATCCTTGGTACGGGTTGTCGCAATAATTCTAAATTACATTGAAAATTGTTTTAAGTCTTCATTACTACTTAATAATATCTAAATTGAATATATTTAATGCATATACTATGTATAATTTATTGTATTAATACGATTTGTCAAAATGATTGAATTTCCAATAATTTAATTTTTGGAAACTATGGGAAACTTATTTTCGATTGATTTATTACTAGCTGTGTGTATTCCGCAACTATAACTGTGATCATATCTTGATATTGAAGAACCTAACTAACCTTAAGAAATCAATTAATTATAACAAAAACGATTTTTCAAATCTCAATGGTAGTTCCAGATATGTCAAAGAAATTTATTGTCTTTTTATTTTCTTAATATAGTTTAATGTTTCATTACATTATTATTAGTTTCTTTAATAAATGATAGTAACCCTAAAGAGTATGTTTTGCATGTACAAAGACAAGTGCCGGCCCTATGATCAAGCTATTGTTTTTTTAATTACAGTAATTTCCGAGCGAAGTCACATCGTTGTCAACGTATACACACGCAACAACTAAATATAAACTTTCAGCGTACGCTTTTTGTGCTACGAAGCCATACATACTCATTTGTGGACATAAAGTCGAGTAAAAAGGTCACTTGACTGTGCAAAAAAATATTACTCCGCCATTTTGAACGCTCCAAGTAACCATGTATAGGAATCATTATAATCAGATATGGATTGTAAGAGTAGCGTTTGAATCGATTGAAAATTTCAAAAGGTTAATTAGAAATTTTAAAGAGACTTTGTAATATATGTAAACACGTATTGTACAATGGAATCGAACGTTACGACGCCTATAAATAGAGGCACAACCGTGAAAATATTAGATGGAAGAACTTGTGTTTACTAGATAGAAACAAAACACAGTCCGAAACATATGACCGTTGCTGTTACCATATCGAAATTTTTACAGCCACGGCCGTGACGGTTCGACTAATCCATATTATTGAGATAATTGACATAGAGTGCGCTTTAAATATTGGCAATACGGACTATATTAGAACAACATGATGTATGACTATTGCTTGATAATACAACGTAACCGGAATACACTCCGTACAATTTTTTTATCACATTTTTTTGTCGAGGATAACAAGTCTGTATCTCTTCCTGTCCTACCTTTTTCTATACAAATACACCATAGTGTGTCATAAAAACAATCAATATAGGGAAATTATCAGGAAATGTCACACTTGTATACTAAGGCGCGACGAAATATTTTCTCGTTATATTATAATTCATAAATACAAATAAAATGTCTTATTTTATAATTATTTGAATATCAAAATTGTGATAATAAACAAAAAGGAAGTCTTAATATTCTTGACACTTTATTTAAACATAGTCTTCATTTAGAGGATGAATTAATAAGCGCATTTAAAAGGAGGAGGGGCCGTTCGAGCCATGTCCGCTACAGAATTATCTAATGCCACCCCATGATCACGAGCAGAGCTTTCAGCTATGAGCAACGATATGCTTAAGAGTATGTCTCCGTCTTTTTTAAGAGTCTAGAATTCAACTCCTCTCTCCCCTTTTCCTGAAAAATAACCAAACCACCAATGGTTATATTAATTCAGGTAAGGTTTGGCCATCACGGTGAGATATATATATATATATATATATATATATATATATATATATATATACAAAAAAACCTTTTCTAGTAGACACCAAGATTAATTAAGGAACCGATGTGCAAAATTTCAAGTTTCTAGACCAAGTACTTTTTGCTGTGCGTTGTTAAATCAATCAGGACATTCGTATTTAAAAATGTAGATAAAAAACACTTGTACATGTATCGCGATATAACGTTTTTTATTGTACACTGACCGGTTTCAACCAGTTACCAGTATTACTGTGGTGAGAATTCAAAGAGGCTGCATAGACATAACTAATGGCGCCTTTAAATGTTTAATGAATCTGCCCTAAATTTGCTAAACTTCCTGAGGCTATTTTACAACATATAATATTCTTGTTTGAAATTAATCTATGAATAGCATAAACCACAATGTAAACTTATATCAAAACTTGTAGTACACAAGCGTCACATAGACGCATTTTTTATATGACTTACTCGTAGTATGGCAGACAAATTGGCGGCCTACCAGTTGGAATAAGGTAACCGTCGCATAAATGTAAATAGCACCATGAATGTCTCGGAATACTCTGTGATACTCATGGCATCATTCATGCGTTGCCAGTTTTGAGAACTGTAGTGTTATACGGCCATATCTGGCCATATCCCATCATTCAAACTGAACTAAAACACAGCCACGTAAGCACTGCTGTTAAACAACAGAAATACAGGTCAGACAAGGGGACTCAAGCAGATAAAGCTTGTGCAGTCTCCCTCTTGAATGTCTAGTTATATCTTTTTTCTGTTGCGAATCTTTATGGATGACTTATTCATTTTGGAATAGTGTATGGGTTGTGCTCTATTCTTTCTGACTTTAAAACCCCATTTTATCATGCAATTTCGTCTCTAAAATCCCTTATAAATATGTTTCAAAAAGTATCCTGTGCTCAATCATTTCACTACATCCGCTTAACAGATTTCGAAATTTTGAAGTCCCGGTACTTGAAATTTCGTAAAAGAACTCTAAGCTCCTTGATCTTCTGCATTCGTAAGCCCAGAACTGGTAATATTTAGCGAGGAAATTCTGCCAGTGTCTAGGAAAGCCTTTTGGGTCATCACGGGCCTAACTTCTTACACCAAACACAGTTTTAGATGATTTTATTTACCGTTTAATCACTATATATTTTTTAAGGACAATATAATAAATAACTATCAAATTTCAATTTGTTTTCTCTTTATTCTATGGATGAATTAGTAACATTCGTGCAAAGTACCGTCTGAAGGTCGCTGTCATCGGCGATAGTTGACCTCGCTCTGTTGTTGAAAGCATGTAAAGAAACGTCTACAAACGAACTGGAATAGATTTTTAAAGTAACGGAGAGATTTTTATCAATACTAACATCTTATTGGACAAACAGTGTTGCAGACGCGTCACGGATAAGCGAACATTGGTATTAGTGACCATTTGTGCTAGATTCAAGTTAGTAAGTAACAGTTTTCAATCTATGCTCTCAATACTCCGCCATATTAACTATTGTTTATTTACCGTTAAATATATACATGTATGTCATTTATCACAGGAAACGGGTTAAATTTTAGATAATTTGATATTAATGTTTAAAAATGGGTACATATATATTATTTTAAATAACTCTAAATAGCAAACAAGTTCTCGTTCCACCAGTTGGAAAGTAGCATGAATGTTACAGAGTATATTATGAATCTCAGGATACCGTCATACGCAGCAATGCGTAGGAACAACAATTTCTAAGAATTAAGGTGTTATGTTTCCGTATCCAGTGAATTATTGTTATTTACTTCGCCCTTAAAACCAAAATACAGCCATGCAAGTATATCTACCTATAAATTATATATATGCATGACTTTTGTACACTCAGAGATTTGATAAAAGATTTATTCAGGTTAAATATAAATCATTAGAATTTTTTGACAAAAATGTTTGATTTTCCTGAAAAAAATTGTGACTGAAAAACCATAACAAAGTATTCACAGTAATTTGATAGACGCGGCGTACTAGTATAGGAAGCTAAATAATATTTTAGTTGTTCTATTGTTAACTTTAAGAAAAATTTTTGGCAATAATTATTGTAAGTTTTATAATTTGGCAGTATGGGTATTTCTATAAAATAGAAAGAAAAGATAATATAAAATTCCGTTTTAGTAAACCTAGTGTTTTGGTGACTGTTAATATTATTTATATCTATGCGCAGATAATTCAGTAGTTATTATATTATGACTTTTATGTACGTCTCTTTAATTTTTTATATTTTTATTGTTATATTCTCGACTATAACTTAACTGAATCGTGATCATTATGTGTTACTGTAGTACACACATGAAAAACAGATGTTATTGTCTTTTTTTTTAATAAATTTTTCCCCTTTTTAATTTATGTCTGTATTTGCTATTTGTATGTTGTAAATAGTATAAATAAAATATTTATTTATATACAACTAAGTATATAAATACCTGCACAGACGTGGGACTCTTATTATTAGGGCTGTTTTATTTTGTAGTATTCGTTAGAAACTTTTCTTGGGTTTTTATTCAACATGCTCGATGTAATCCTATGTTTTATTTCTCATTGACTTCATGAAGGAGGATACTTTCAATCCAATGTATTTTTCTGTAAAAATACGGGTGAATCTTAATTCACCCGTAAGAGATTCTTAAATATCTTTATTTAGCTTTAAAAAATAATTTTTCGATGATAGGGTTACTCCCTTGTTGCTTTCTTATTAACGACTGTAAATATTTAGAGAACAAAACCTGAAATTATAATAATTTTCTCTAAAAGAAAAATAAAGAACTCCGCCGAGGATTATCCCTAGTCTGCGTAGGCCTAATATGGAAGAAATACGTACTACGTTGTTATCGTTGCGGTGACAGCAAAGCAGCCCCGCGGGCGATTGGCGGGGTCCGGGCGAATGGCAGGCCAGCCCTCGGGAACTATAAAACCAGATCGAACTGGTGAGAGGTGGTTCAAAATCCAGACATCGCGTAGCAACTCGCTTTGCAATTACATCGTTTATGAAAAAGGAATGCGAACCACAGGAACCAATAGCGCAGACAGCTGCGCTACTGGTTTACGTTGGTGGAGTGCTAGTTAGTAGGGAACGATGGAAGATGAAATCAGGTCAGTTGATCCATTGTGATAAATTCAACAGGAATTGACCACGAAGGTTTCCAGGGATTTGCGTAAAGGTTGATCTAACTGAGTTTATTGCTAGCAATGAGACTGTTAAAGGTTATCAGATGTTTAGAAAAAAAAAATTAGAGCATTTACAACACAACTTTGGACATATAACTTTGAGAAATATTATCTCTTTAATTCTTGGAATTAATAGATCAATGTTTACCTGTTTTGTCAATTATTTAATCAGATATGGAAGACCGCCAATGATAATGTCAAAAATAATAATATTACTACATTTTAAACTGTTTTCGAAGCAAGTTCATACGGGAGTTACAATTTTTGTTATTTGCGATTGCACAGGGAATTACCTAGTTTACAATTTTGTTTTTAATGCAAATTTATTGAGTTATAAGGAAAATTATTAAGAAAAACAGGTTTATTAATTTCAATTTTATTAATTATAAAACTACTTTTTGAGGACGTTTTGAAATAAAATGTCAGCATATACTGTGACCTGAACCATTGATAAAAAACAAATACGAGACGAGATTATTCTACCTATATGAGAATATAAAACATACAAGAGGTTATAATATTAGACTTTCATATTATAATAATAAGGTAACAAATTATTAACTATTCCCTTGATGATTTAATAGGAAAAAATTACGGATAAACAAATATTAATCGTAACTTTTTATTACATTATGCACATCCTTGAATATAACATAAATAATAACTCAAAAGTAGGAAAATATCTAGTATATATATATATATGTACTTAATTTATTCCAAGCGCTCATTCAAATATTTGGTAGTTCACCAAGCGAGCAACTAAAAACAAGTTAGCTAATTCACACTTACTGGAAATTATTATATATTATAATATACTAGCATCATGCATAATAAAGTAAGATACACTAAGAATAATGTCGGTTATAATATTGATAATCATTCTGTTGATGATTTTATTTAATGCTAATGGTATTATTAGTATAATAATACCTAATAGACGCTCTTAAAATTTAAACTACGAACGATCTAATATCTAAGGCCTCCTATTGACTAATGCTGTATTAGGTGGTTTCTCAACTATTGCATACGAAAATGTGTGTCAATTATATTCAAATTAAAAACCGAGTGAAGTTTTTCAAATTATCAAGAAGATGTTCTGTAAACAAGGAAAAAAATATACAAATTTAAAATAACCATAAGTAAATGTTTTTTTATTAATCATACACACTAAGCGAATGAACCTACATGGTACGCGTGCAAGTGTTTTCTGAATGGATGATGTAACCTGGATCAAAAAAATGCAACAAAACAATTTGGAGCCGGTTTTGTTTCCCAAACTTAAAGGAACCTACAATAAATAATAACCTTGATAATAATACAGTGTCAGGGACCTACCTACTAGTCTGCACATATTGTAATTAAATGGAAATAATAAAAAAAATTAAACACCACAGGTATATGAAAAAATATGATAGATACACTGTCATTTTTATTTTCCTGTTATGATTTTGTGAAGTTAATTTCTTTTATTTTCATAAATTTATATTCTATGTATTATAAAATATTAAGATTAAGTTTTTAAACAAAAAGTTATATTGATAAAGCATTAAAGTTATAAAGCATTTTTTACATCTGTTAAATCTTTACTTTAATTTTTGTTTTTGAATTTGCTAAGTTTGTTCCCGCATACTTAGTTAGTAAAATGTAAAGAAACTTTGGAAGCCTGATTAATCTCTAAAAATAATCTCAAAATTTGGTGAAATAAACGTAAATATATAAATAAATAGATAAATATTGGGATGAATACAAAAAAGTGATAATTATTCATTTATACAGTTTCTATTATTAATATTAACATATTGTTAACAGAACAGAATTCGCTTTGCTATTTACAAACAAAAGACGATGGGAAAATTTTAAACTTCATTAAAGCATCGATATACCATAACAACCCATTAATATCCTACGCCAATACTAGGATATATCAACAACGCAGGTAGGATTACTATTATTATTAATATTAATGAAAGAAAAAAAAAACAGACCTATGTATTTTGGAGCAATAGATATATTTTTCTTTTCTATTTATTACTAGACAGTAAAACGTATATACATTTTTATCGATCGCCCTCTATCTTTGTATACATCCATGTTCATCTTCAACACTATAACTTCATTTTAGTAGCTGTTAAACGTAACAGCTACAAAATTAAAATTATTTAAGGCAATGTAAATGAAATAATAAAGACGCAATCTATTGAATTTACACCTATGCAAGCAGTGATGTTCGAGACGTTCGTAGTCATAATAAAACGAAAACCTTGGTATACAATAAAGTCAAGTACAAGCCGGGACTTATTAATTAATCGTCTGCAACATCAGATGGTGGTTTGCGGAAATTTTCAGTTTCACATGGCCATTACTGTCAATGTTTAGTGCACCTCGGATGCTATCGGGACATGACTTCATGACTGCTTGTGTTCATAATTCAGCTCAAAATTCATTTTTAACAAGTAAAAAGCTCCTACTAATTACTAAATCGTGCTAGTCTTAACCTTTGTTAGAATAAATGCCAGCGGCATTGCAATAATAATTGTATAATTATTTTTATCATGTGATACGTCTGAATAAGATAATTTTATTTTGCGTAGATGGTCTTCCATACAGTTGAATTATTCATAAAATATAAATAATATCTAACTCTGAAATTTATTAACGAAATAACATTTTGAAGTAACGTATTATTGTTATAAATTAACATTACTTTTAAATTGTTTTTATTAATATTGTATATTATTATATAGAATATTTGCTATGTTCTCGAATTTAAAATGAATAGAATATGATAAATTTGTAACAACCTACGTAAATTATAAATAAATTATATGTATCTGTATCGGTACATATAAATTATATTTTTTTGATTTGATTTATTACTATTTTTTATTCTTCCGTGGATAACTTTATAAACAAAATCTAAAACATAATTAAATAAACCAAAAATATTCTTCATCAGGATTCGAATCCACGAGTTTGAGAATGTAAGTCTAACATATTTTATAAACATGATAACACGAAATGGAGTCACGTATTTCAATGTTTTTATTCTTTAAGGACGTAACATCTAATCAAATCGTTTATCGCTCTTACTCACCTTTATATGCGCATAAAAGGATTTAAAATCACTATCTCGTATACCAGTATTATTTCAAGATTTTACTGTATTTACTATGCAGGCAGTTGCATATCTTTAGTTCTATTTATAGTCAACCTAGACGACGATACCACAACCTTAAGTGAGACTTACTTAGAACTACTAGCCCAATATAAAAGTACTCTTTGAGTTTTTTTTATATCCATTTTTTTATTGCTAAGCTTCACGTTTTATTTGGAGAGACTATAATATCATGTGATGTATTCGCTAATTTTAATATTTTTTTCCAATCGATACAGTTTACTTCCATTAAGGTCCCATAACGTGTCATGATTGACGACGCTTATTTTAGAGTGTTCATCATAATCATAATCTTCTTGATACAGTATTTTCATTTGAGCAATTATTACTTTTTTCTTATGATATTAATTACATTTCAATTACGAATTTCAGTTTTAGTTTCAGTACATGCACTATTTGTTAGTTTCTAAGCTATAAATTCATAATTTTAGTTCATTACAGTTTATTATTAATCAAGAACAACTGTTATCAAAGTATACCGTTTTAGGTACATTGGAAATTAATAAAAATAAAAAAAAAATATTTAAACTTTAAGTTACGATTAGTATAACTTAAGTTGTCATCCATCTGTTTCCTTGAAATAAGTAAATATATATCATGATTTTATAAAAGATGGTAGTCAGCTATAATTGCACAGAAAAGGGCATACGTACCTGTATTACCACAGTTGTGTTTAATATAAATAAAGTCTTGAAATATAGCGATTATGTAGTGGTCAATAAAATGAACATAGTTGTACAAAACACATCGATATAATAGCTTTATATTGTACTTATTCTTATTATAAATTTAAAAGCAAGTTTCCCTGTTAACGTTACCATCATTTTAGTTTTATCACTATCATCATTGCAGCACCTTATTTAAGAGGCCAGATCTCTCCTGGAAAATAATCTTAAATATGCCATTATTGACGACTCTTAAAAACTTTATTATACCATTTGAAAACCTCTAAGCTGTACTAAATATTGTTGTAAACTGCCATAACAAAGATATTTTAAAGAAAACATAATCATCTTATTAATTTCTATACAAAAACAACAAAACATGTAATTTAAATAGGTTTTTACAACTTCATTACTGCATAACCACAATTATGCTGCCTGATATGAGCATTATATTATGAGTTTGTTACTTGCTATCAAAGAGCATTAATGTAGAAAGAAATATTTGTACAATATCTTTAAATATAAAACAATTATTATCTATCATTATTTATAAACATCCAAATAGAGTATCTTGTCTATTAATGGGTAGAAACTGGTGCAATGTGACATAAACTGTATCATTTTGCGTTTCATTGCATATTCAGTACAATGTTGGGCGCATCGTACGCCCGAACTACCGTGATATGAAATTCCGAATTTTTGGACTCAATTTCGTATTTGCCTTCATACCGAAATCGGTCAAATGGAGCTTAATATTTCGTTCGTCATCAAAGTCCCACCATAAAAGTTCAAAGGTTCAACTATATTTTATCATTTTTTAACGGTATGTATTATGTAACTTTAACATCAAAGTATTGTTGCGTTTGCGCCGAAATTTCGAAAATCGTTTTATGGTAGG